ATTTCAACCAAAATAACTTGATGAAAAAATATCTATTAATGATTTTTTATGAATCGCAAGGACATTTTCAACAATACGAGATATGAGATTAGACTGTTGTCTTAAACATCCATAGAATGTATTTCCATATTTCTGCTAAAATTTTGTTCTGCCTAATGTTCTAAGGTAAGTGAGTGCTATGGCCCATAATCATTCACATTTATACTCAATTAAGAATCAAAATGCGTTGTCACTTCTGAGGACTAAGATGGAATGCTTCGATTCCATTAAAAAGGGTAATTAGTTCTCTACACTCACCATGTGAGACGCAGCAGAATTACGTAGCTATTTTACGCTAGAATTCTGTGAGAGCGTTTTCTTGGCTCGTTCGAGCCGATTCATCTATGCTGCAACTATTATTATGGTTGCAGCATGGCTCTATTACGTAAAAACTCAATATTTTTAACTTAGAACGATTGCTATATCAACCGGAAACAAAAGTCATGTTTTACTAAGTGGAAAACTCTTTATAAACTTTTCTCCTAGAATACCGCCAAAATTCTTATCTATTCTTGTAAAGAAGTAGTAGCAGCAGCAGGATGTGAGGCATTCCACCGTGTACCTTGGAGATGATAATGCGGCGGTAGCCATTTTGTTTGCATTTGGTTGTAGGTACCAATCGGCTGCGATAACCACTATTAATCAAGAGGATTGTAAGTTCATTTTTTACTACAATTTTATATAAAAGGGTGGAAATTAAATACAAGTATTTCGTACATAGAAGGACTCTTAGTTAACGAAAACGAAAAGTTTCTGACAAGAGATGGTTCTCAGGACAGTAAAGTTTGGAGTGGCAAGCTTCTACCAGTGAGCAAAGTTTTAGGCTGCATCCTCTCTAGAAAAAGTGACGACTTGGTAAGGAACATAGAAAGTCGATGTATGCAGATGATATAAAACCGAATTTTTTGGCATTAAACAGTGACTTAAAGGAATGAAATCGTGGTTTATGCTTCCGCGAAGATGCAGAAGTTGCGAACGTGGGCAAGGAAAAGATCATATAATTAGAGCGACCGCCACTCATGAGCTCATGACGGTGCAGTACAAGGACGTGTGTATATTATACACGCCAAATGCTCCGCTCCGTCAAACACTCTTCAATAAGGTCTAACCCTAATTTTTATAATAGCAATGATACAAACATATGAAATTAATGGAAATTCATAACGTTTGCTTTCATCGTAAGAACTGAAATGGAAATGATTAAACCAAAGTGAAGCTTTCAGACCACCAATTCAGAAACATTACTTTATCTTCTGTAAACCTTTACAAGTAAATTTATTTATTTATTTATATTTCCTACTAACATCTACCATTACAGGGAAAACCTAAATCGATAAATGTAGCATCTCAATTCAAAAAGTAACAATTCAAATGGGAAAAGATTACTAATTACAACACAATAATTAATTTAAATAACAATACGTAATAATTAATTTCAATGACAATACATTACAATCAATTGTATACTACAATTTAAGAATAACATATTGTAAATAATGTCACTTTTGCGAATTCACTCCGTGAACACAAAAATAAGTCCAACTTCTCAGCTACCAAATTTAGTATGTGTATCGTTCGCGTGAGGGGGGTATTGCGAACCAGTTTAGTCCTGCCGCGTGGCATCGCGAGCAAGCTCGGCCGTCGTCGCCGCTGTACATACCTATCAGGCACGCATAAGCCTATCCACTGCAGCACACCCGGGTTGCTGATGTAACCACGGAACACCCTTAAAATGTAGATTACCAGCGCTAGATCTCTTCTAGTTTCCAACTTGTTGTATCCAACCATACCTAAAACAAACAAGGTTGGATACATCAAGGGGTAGGATGGATAAACCCCATAAAGCTTATGATATATAAATCGCGTGAATTTATTCTGAATGCGCTCCAGCATAAGATTGTATTTATTTTCATGTGGAGCCAATATTGCTGAGTTACACTCCAGCTGACTCCTTACTAGAGCATCATACAGCACTGAGATTGCTTTAATGTTGGTAAATTTTACTGCTCTGCGAATGATAAAACCTAGTCGTTTATAAGCTTTCTTACATATATTCATGATGTGCTCCCGGAATGTCAATTTGACATACATCTGGACTCCAAGATCCCGGACTGATTCCTCCCTCTTCATTAGCTCGCCATTCACCTTATAGTTGTAATGGAGTGGTGCCCTTGCACGACTAAATGATAGAATAGAGCATTTTGAAATATTAAACTGTAGTTTATTTTTATGGCTCCATTCAACTACTTGGTCGATATCCTGCTGAAGGTGCCGACAATCATCCTCAGTCTTGATGGCTAAAAGCAACTTTAGGTCGTCTGCAAATAACAGACATTTAGCCTCTCTTACTACTTCGGGTAGATCATTAATCATTATGTTGAACTCTAACGGCCCTAAATTACTACCTTGACTCACGCCAGACCTAGTAAAATAAGGCTCCGACCGGTACCCGCCATACTCCACATACTGTTTTCTATCTCTCATGTAACTTGCAAAAAAATTAAGCAGTTTAGGTGTGCAGCCAGCTTTCGCCATCTTTGACAGTAGGATATCGTTATCTACCAAGTCGAACGCCTTCCTAAAATCAAAGTAGGCGGCATCTACCTGCAACCCTGCATCAACATGAGGAACCAAATACGTCATGGCATTTAAGAGGTTACTAGTTGTGCTCCTCTCTAGCCGGAAGCCGTGCTGGGCGTCCGATAATTGCGGTGCAACTTGTTCCCGTACACTTCGCTGAATGGCTCCCTCAAACACCTTCGCAGGTGCTGAGAGAATCGCCACTGGTCTGAAGGATTCAACTGTAGGTTTGTTACCTCCCTTAGGTATCGGAATAACACGCGTGATTTTCCAACTTTCTGGAAAATATGAATTCTTCAGACACAAGTTGAAATTATGTAATAACGGTTCTGCCAGCACTGAGCGGCAGTCTCGTATCACAAACGCCGGTATACCGTCCGGGCCCGCCGAGCGCTTCGGCTTGAGTCGGGCGAGCGCCGCGCGCACCTCACCTAGCTGCAGTTGCGGCACGTGCACGCGCGCGCTGCCCGCACCGCCCGCCAACACCGCCTCGTCTACGTTCAAACGCGCTGGCTCGCTGTTGTACACTGAATAGAAGTATTTGGCAATTTTAGTCGCACTTTCTGATCTGACAATTTTACTCCATCTTTCAATATTTGTTTACGTTTAACGGTCCTTTTTTTCGCCCTAATATGATCCCAAAAAGACTTAGGATCTTTTGTCAAGTTACTTTGCACACGATTTTGATAGTTTAGGTATGCGCTATCAATAGTTTTCTTAATTCGCGTCCTGCAAGCAGAAAAAGCTTTGTAATGAGCACGAGATCCGGTCGATTTATATAACTTGTGAAGTTTAGCCTTTAATTTTATGTCCCTGATTAAATCACTAGTATACCACTCGGGGTAGTGTCTTTGATCTACTTTATTTTCCCGCTTTTTTCGGTACACATTTATCTAAAACACCGTAAAAAACATTATAAAAAAACTCTAAAGCTTCCTCTGGTTCTTGTGTCTCGCTAATCAAACTCCAATCGGCGCAAGCTAAATAAGAATAAAATAAGTAAAAATCAGCTTTATAAAAATTCCATTGCGATTTAATTTGGTTTGCTTATGTCTCACGGTTTAAAGCAACGGGCTCGGCCCCCACGGGTAGCAACGTCACACCGCCAGCGCTGAGCTCCAGAGTCACCGCGAGCGGTGGATGATACGTGTCCACAGGCACTAATGGTTCGTCAGCTTCGCATACTTGTACGCCATCACTTAATCCTAACGAACACAACACTAAATCTAGTTGACTCCGATTACAATTAAGGACTTTATTCATCTGAGCCAATTCGCAAAAGGACACAAAATATTCAAAATAATTTTTAACATTATCATTACTTGAATTTAAGTTAAAATCACCTCTCAAAATAATATGTCTATATTTAACACACAATTGTTCTATTATCTTAAAAAAATCATGTAAACATCTTCCTTAGTCTTAGGCGGGATGTAAACAACGCAACATAAAAATAAACATTTATCTTTAGCGTGTACTGTCGCACAAACCAGTTCAAATGAGCAGTTATCTATGTTTACGTCACCCGGTGTATTCACTCGTTGCAGCTGTAACCCGTGTGTGGCCACGAGAAACGCGCTGCCTAGCTTACGGCCGTCTGTTCGATCACACCTTATTATATCATAACCTGGTGGCACAATCTCCGCATCCATTATAGAATCGTTGCATCCTGTTTCCGTAATAGCAATTATATCGGCATTCAATGATTCAATATTGTTACAAAACCAGTTTAATTTTGTACGAAGACCCCTGACGTTTTGATAGTAAAATTCAAAACTATTATTTTTCTTTAATTGGTTTATTTGTAGCTTTTCGAAACCAAATCCACTCGCAAAATTCCGCATTGATGGGCCAGACTTCCGGTTGACACAACTTATCATACATTGACTCTGATACTGTTATGATAAAAGAAGCGTAATCCCTCTCTGTCTTATGCTTAATTTTCTCAATCTTAACATTAGCATCTGGACCACATAATCCTTTGACATGTGATGTTAATTTATCACTTGTGGTTTCTTTACTCAAACGCCAAACGTGAAGGTGCCGCTTTTTTTCAGTAGCCTGTATATCTAATAAAACCGTATTATTTCCTTTCTTCACATTTTTTGATTGGTAACTCCCCCCTTTTCTTACGAACTGTAGTCCACTCACAATCTTTATTAATTTTTTCTTCTTCCTCACTAATATTAATATTTAACTCTTTCCTTGGAGTCACACACTGTGGCTGATTAATTGGTTGAGTTTGGACAACGGACCCTCTCCCGGTTGCTATTTTCATGGCCGCAGGCGTTTTTATTACGCAGGGAGTAACGTTTGTTTTGTTTACATTATTTAGGCTTATACGAGCCACATCAGCGAATGTAGATGGGACATCGATTTGCTTAGACATCTCGAGGCCTGTATTCAAACTTTTCCGTTATACTATCAATACTTTCAAACTGTTGATTTTGAGTTGATAACAGATCCGTTGGGAACAATTTATTTTGAAATACTTTCATTTTAATCTTTAGTTCTTCTAATTCCGTTTTTGTAGAAAAACATATTTCTTGAAGATGTTTAATAATGTTAGTTAGCACGTCTAATCGGCTTAAGACTTCATGTTTTAGCTGTCTAAACTCAGACAGCAATTTATCATTACTATTATTATCACACTCGACAATTGATTCATCCATCAATTGCATGCGGCTTCCCCGTTGAGTGTTGACATTAGCACTGGGCGTGAATGTTTTCAGATCCGGGGTGTCCCTGATAGGTGTATTCTGGTCATAGCGTTTAGGTTTAGAACACGCGCACTCCGGACAGACCCATTGCTTCGTGCGCTTATCCGAGAAGGAACTGAATTTATTTTCTGTCAGTCCTAGGCATTTTAAATCATAAACTTTCTCGCACTGTTTTTTTGAGCACTTTATGTAACAACCATCAGGTACTTGGACACCACAAGCCCTACAATCTACAGACATTATAACTGTTTTTAAAGTAAATAATTATACACAAGTGCAACAAACACGTCCGTTCTGTTTTATCCTATCTTTTAATCTTGTTGATTTTGAGAAGAATCATGTCCGTCCTTAATGGTAGTGCAGGAGAAGGAAATATAAATTAATAAATATATATTAAGAAATATATAACAAAATAGTTATTTTAAATAAAATAATTCGCCAAAATACAGTTGTCACCTGTCACCGTTATTTTTTATAAATGTCAAAGTTTCTAAAGGGAAAGTTTTGTAAAAAAGGAATGAGTTACCTTAATACTTATTACTTTTTAGATACAATATTCTTCTCAAATTTGCTTTGTGATATCGCCTTTTAAAAATACAAATAGTTTAGCAATTTGTACAATCCTAAGAATATTAATTACTTTCTCTTGCACGGTTTGAATTTAAATGAAGTACTCGATCGAGTCGACACACTCCCAATCTGACCATGTTGTTAATGAGAGTACTTTTAATCAATTCTTTGGACTTTGTACCATTAATCAATTCTTTAGACGTCTTTTAAAGTACTTGGACGATAAATTTGTAATGTTGGGGTTCCTGAATGAGTGTTATTCAAGGAAACAACCACATTAGTTACGTACTATTTATATGAATGCCTGGTAATAATCTAAAATAATGCATATAAGGTATAGTGCAAACTCAGCATACATACGGTTATAAAGTAGCGTACTCACTTACTAAACTAAAGGAGCATACATATTAGACTTACACTTCACCTCCCGAGGACATAGAAAAAAAAAGAATTAGGTACATTCTTTTTTTTACATAATTTTTACTAGATATTTACTTGAAGTATCATCTTTTAAAATAATAGTGTTTAATAGACATAAGTTACTTATTACAAATAAAATGGTACATACGTTTATCCTTATCATTATACATTGCAATGTTATCTAAAATTAAATCTTACATTCAAATCTATTGACAAAAAGGCCTAGTCCTATTCTTATGTACTAATTCAATTTTATTATTTTTAATTATTTTTACGTTGCAACCTAAATCTTCCATAACTGTATAGGGACCTTTAAATATTGCATCTAATTTACTACGTGCTTCATTTTTTATTAAAACCAAATCATTTTTCTCGTATTTTGCAGAATTGACAGACTTATCATATATTTCTTTCCGTTTATGCTTATTAATCAGCAATTTTTTCTTTGCATCTTCATGAGCTAATTGTAACCTGTATTTTAATTGTAATGGATAATTATCTATATTATACAATGGTTCTTCGGTATTACTTATGCTATCGGGTATTTGACAAAGTTTTCCAAAAACAAGTTCATATGGCGTGTAATTTGTTTCTGAATGGACTGTGTTGTTAAAACTGAAGCACCAAAATGGTAACCAATAGCTCCATGTATCCGTATGATTTTCACACTGGATCCTTAAAAATGCACCCAAAGTTTTGTGAGCATTTTCAAGAGCCCCAACCGACTGATGGTGATAGGCTGTAGAAGATAATTTTTCTATATTAAGTATTTTACAAACCTGTTCCATGGTTGCAGAAATAAATTCTGTTCCTCGATCTGTAGCTATTGTCGTCGGAATACCAAATCTTAATATGAACTGTCTAACAAATGCATCTGCAATGGACACTGTTTCTTTGTTTTGCAAAGGAATAGCTTGTACAAATTTTGTTAACTCGCATTGCATAGTCAATATATAACAATTACCATTTTCGTCTCTATCTAAGGGTCCCACTACATCTAAGTATATCTTCTCAAAAGCCGAGGAAGCTGTTGTGGTAATTTCCATCGGTTCTTTTATGTTACGAAAATATTTATGTTTCTGACATTTTGTACACTTTTTAACAAATTCCTGGACATCCTTGTCGATACTTGGCCAATAGTATCGACTTTTGATTGTATTTATCATTCTGCGCACTCCAGCATGACCGCTGTATGGCAGTAAATGAAAGTCATTCATAATAAGTGACTTTTCGTTGTCGTCATCTATTCTTTTTACGCCTCGTAATATGCATATTCGCGGTCCGGACCAATTACTAAGTGTTGTTATTTCATCACAAACACTTTTGATAAATTCTATATTATCATTATTTTTAATTATACACACTTCAGTGATACGTATCTTTTCACAAAAATTGCTTAATTTCTGCACAAATTCGGCTCGCGAGAAATGCGCCTTGAAATCAAGATTAATGTATACTGTCTTTTTACCCTCTATAAATGTAAAATATTCAAATTCTTCAGTTATCAAGGTATTATCTCTAATTTGTTTTAATTTGTTGCCTTCAATCAAACACATTTCTACTGAATCACACGGTTTTCTTAATATATCCACAACTCTTGGTTGATCAGGCCAATTGTTAATGGATTTATTAAGATCCTTCTTTTCATCGTCATTCTTACTCTTACTTAACTCATTCAGCTTTTTCTTTTGCGCTCTGGTCATTACAGCCATTACTTGTTCATTCATACTTTTAAGTTCATCAGACGTTATACAAACTCTCGATAAAGCATCTGCCACAACATTGTCTCTTCCTTTCACATAGACTATTTTAAACTTATATTCTTCTAAAGTTAATCGAAATTTAAGTAATCTACTTGACGGATCTTTCATACCAAAAAGATATATTAATGGTTTGTGATCTGTCATTATGGTGAATTTGTTTCCATACAAGTATGGTCTGAAATACTTAACGGACCACACTATTGCCAAAAGTTCTTTTTGAATAGTTGGGTAGTTTCTTTCTGCTTTATTCAAGGGTCTATTGGCATATGCAACTGGTCTGAGATCTTTATTACATAATACAGAACCAATAGCAGTACCCGAGGCGTCTGTTTGTAAAATAAATTCATGATTTTCGGAAAAATCGGGATACTGTAAAATTGGTGATGATATTAAAGCATTTCTTAAAAATTCAAAAGCGTTTTGACATTCATCAGACCAAATAAATGGTTCATTTTTCCTACTTAACTTATTCAAAGGTATTGCTATATCCGAAAAATTTCTTATAAATTTACGATAATAGTTGCAGAATGCTACAAACCGTTTTACTTCATCTGCATTTTTGGGAGTAGGATAATTTCGTAATACTTTTGTTTTTTCTGGATCTGGTAAAACACCTTTTTCTGTAACCAAATGTCCTAAATAAAGAATTTCTTTCTTTAAAAATTCACATTTCTGAGGATTTAGTTTTAAATTTACTTTTCTCAATCTCTCCATGACAGTTATTAAATTTTTGTTATGGGAAGACAGATTTCTTCCAAATACAATGAGATCGTCCTGATATACTAAACATTTATCGTAAGTTAAACCAGACATCGCTACAGACATCATACGACTAAAGGCATTAGGGCTGATCTTTAAACCCATTGGTAAACGCTTCATGCAATATTGACCAGTATTTGTAGTGAAAGCTGTTAATTTACGACTACTAGGCTCTAAACTTACTTGATAGTAACCTTGGTGAAGGTCAAGATGAGTAAAATAAATGGCTCCAGTAAGCGTATCTAAAATTTCATTAATATTTGGTAGAGGAAATTTGTCGTCACAAATAACCTCGTTCAGTTTTCTGTAATCTACAACTAAACGCCATTTTTTCTCATTACCTTTGCTACTTTTCTTAGGTACTAATAATATTGGACTGGACCATTCACTATTTGACTCTTCGATTATATCATTTTCTAACATATTCTCAACTTGCTTAGTTATTTCTGGTTTTAGTGCCCGTGGTAACTTATAAGGCTTGACGTAAACTGGAGTGGAGTTTTGTTTTAAAACAATAGATGGCTCATAAATATTAGTTGTCGTTAACTTATCTCCTTCCAAATGAAAAATGTCAGAATATTTTGCACAAATTGCTTCAATTGATTGTTTCTCTTCTCCGTCTAAATAATTTAAATTTAATTCAGATAGCAAAGTTTTAACCCTGGTAACGTCAATATTGGTCTTGTTAATATTGTGGTCAATATTGTGATTGACAAATATTATAATTATACAAACTTTTCAAATCTGGTGTGATAGATGGCAAGTTTACTTCCTTGTCACTAACATTAAGTATTTTAACTGGAATTTTACTATTACTAACTGTAGTTATTGCGTTTGCTATAAAGACATCCTTCGTTAACTCTTAACTGCATACTACTACTTCTCCAGTTACATCCTCATTCACAATAATAAAATGAATTGATTCCGAGCGTGCTGGAATAATCATAGAATTTTTCATCCTATCATGTTCATCAACAAAATGTAGATAATGTTGTTTATTACTGTTAAAAAGTGTTAAATTATTTGAACCTAAATCAATATTCGCACTAAATTTTTCTAAAAAGTCTAAGCCTATGATTCCGTCTGCTTTTAGTGGTAGCGAATCAAAAACAAGAAAATTGTGCTGAAACGTGGCATTTTCGTATTTTAATATTAAATTTACAGTACCTTGAGATCCTCGCTGACCACCTATTCCATTTATTATAGTATTATCTCTATTAACAATGATATCTTTTGGCAGTACTTCATTTTTAATAATTGACAATGTTGCACCCGTATCAATAAGCCAATAGTATTTAATGTTTTTAATATAAAAAGTAACATATTTCGCATCACCTTGTAATGATAATATAAAATGCTTAGGATCGAAAAAACTGATTCGATGTACCTGCATTGTCGTCTTTATCGCATTGATGAGTGTCAGCTACTTTTTCTACTGGAAATGAGTTTTGACCTCGTCCACGGTTCCTAACATATCTAGAACCTCTATTTCCTCGTTGATTATTATATGAAGGACGATAATTTGCTCTAGAATTTCCGCTAGAACCTTGTCCTTGATTGTAGTGGTTATTAAATTTATGCCCACGATGGTAATTGTTACCATATTGACTACGGTAAATTCCTCTTTGACCTTGTGAACGTCTAAATTTGTGTACCGAGTGGTGTCCATTTTTAGATGCATACAAAATGTTACCTGGTGGTTGGAAAGACGTGCACTCCTCGTCTTTT